GGCTTCAAGTACAATAATACCTTTGTCAGCATGGAAATTAACAGGAAACAGCCAGTAAAAAAAAACGCAAGTCGACTGACCTTCCAAACCTTCCACATATCCTTTAAACAATGTTCTATACTGGAGAAAGTACAGAACATTGCTGTTATTATTGTAAATTGTACAACTTTGAGGGGGATGGAATTAGGTAGCATATGCAAAGTTTTACTGTTTAACACAAGATTGCAAAGAATACTCAAATCTGCCTCTATGGAAACCTTTAGCTGTTCCAATATCTACAGTGGCATTTCTGCAATAGACAAATTTAGCCTGCCTAAAGTAGCTACTGCCTGGCCCAACCCATCAAGTGTTTGCAGCAAGGTTACTTGTAAATGTACAAAATCATCTAAGTAACTTTAGTTTTGACTAAATTATGTCCCCTTCTGAAGGTGGAGTCCTGTAGCTCAGTGGTTAGAGCATTCGCTTTGCAAGTGAGAGACCTCAGTTCAATTCCAGGCAGGGCGAAACCTTGGGCAAGTTTCCTTACTCCACACGCTTAATAATAATCCCTCCAAAACCAAAAACAATAATAAATTGGGCATTTTCAATCCACGACTATTTGTGGACACTGCTGTGCGCAATTGGCTGCCGCGTTCGCCCACAAATATACAGTCAATTCACTTTACAGTATATTCTGTGAAGCGCTTTGGGACATCCTCCCGACGTGAAAAGCGCTATATCAAATGCAAGGATTATTATTATTATTATTACTGATTCTTGTTGGCAGCATTAGTTGTGAACGTTTAACTTATTAGTACTAATAAGAAATTACATATGAATATTCTGAATTGGTTACTTAGATTTTAGGAACTGAGAGCCCAGCATGGGACTGTTCCAGAGGGATGCAGGCGTATCTTGGGCTTGGTTAACCAGGCTAATTTACAGCCCATTTTCTCTCTTATTTGCTCTATTAACTGAAACGAGGACAATTCCCTGCATTTGTTCTTCAATAACCACAAGTTTTTTTTAATCACTCAAGGTCATCATGACATTCCTTTCTTTCAAGTAACTCATAATTGACAAACATGTTTATAATGCAATCAAGCGATAGAAGACATTTCAATTTTATTTTGAAAGAAGGATGTCTTTCATCATTTGATTGCATTATAAAACTTTTTTGGAATAAGTCTCATTAACATACTGGCTAATTTAGCATTCTGGCTAACATACTGTTTGAGATAGTGGGGGGAATGCTGTGTTTTATCATTATCTGAATTAAATTTTATGCAACCACCATAAGCTTTGGTCTTCCAGGAAATTCTAAAATGCTTCCATTATCTCTAATTTCTCATTGATGCCTTGGTGCAAACCCTTGGATATCTGATGTCTTGCAGATCCTAGCTATTCTTGTACTTGTGGTGAATTTGGTCAGTCGTTGTATGAATTTAAAGTCTCTTTAGATTACAAACTGCTGTCGACATAGTAACCAATGTCTATTTGGAATGCACAAAGTGAAAACTAGGGCTGTTTTCAAATTTTTTTGGAGTTAGATAAAAGAACAGCACTAAAATAACTGAAGCCGAAAAAGAACTCTGCCCTTGTTTTCGGTAGAAACTGTACGTGCAGATAGCACACTAGTTTGCATTGATGGTAAATGCCTCAAGCACTAAAGTATGGAACAAGTTTACTTTTTGAAAAGAGATGAAGATTAAGAATACACCTAAATTCTAGGACACAATTTAAAATATACAATGGTCATGGTTTGAATTGAACACATATTGCGGCCACTGTGAACCCACAGCCATAGCCAGGCTGGCTCATCGGCAGGACTTTGAAGGGCAGAGCATTCACTAGGGCAGGGACTCTTTGCAATCAGGTCCCTGGAAGCCAAAGCCCTAATGGGTGGGCTGGTCCAGCTGGACAAGCAACAGGAAAGCTTGCCAGGTAATGTCCTCAATGGTAAGCTATGCAATACTTCTTTAGAACCTCGGTTAGACCACACTTAGAATACTGTGTGCAGTTCTGGTCTCCACATTTTAGAAGGGATGTAGAGGCAATGGAGAGGGTGCAAAGGAGATTCACAAGGATGATCCCAGAACTGAGAGGTTATACCTATCAGGAAAAGCTGAACATGCTTGGACTCTTCTCTTGAAAAGAGGGTAAGGGCTGACCTGATGGAGGTCTTTAAAATGATGAAAGGTTTGATAGGGTAGACATAGAGAAGATGTTTCCACTTGTGGGGAGACCAAAACCAGGAGCCATCAATATAAAATAGTTACAAATAGATCAAATAGGGAAGTTAGAAGAAATCTCTTCACAAAGAGAGTATCGGGAATGTGGAACATGCTACAACGAGGAGTTGTTGAGGCAAATAGCATAGATATAATTAAGGGGAAGCTAGATAGGTACATGAGGGAGAAAGGAATAGAAGGTTATGCTTGAAGGCTTGGTTGGGGAACGGCAGGAGGAGGCTCTTGTGGAGCATAAACACTGGCATAGACCAGTTGGGCCGAATGGGCTGTTTCTGTGCTGTATATTCTAATGTATTAGCTGGTTAACTCCAGCAATACCCCAAAGCACACCCTGTAGTTCCCAAACCTTAACTCCTGCCAACCTGCACCTAATACTCCCTGTAATTAGGGAAGCAGTGATGAGTCCCTCCAGGGAGAGAGTGCACATTGCATTCCAACAAATATCTCTAGAATTTCCATGAATAGGTGGGATGAGCTACAGGACTCCACAACTTAGGCAGATAGAGAGGGGGCAAGACGGAGGGGTAGAGGAAAGGAAGTCCATAGATTATCTAGATAATTGTCCATTGTGCAAAATACAAATAAACAAAATAATAATCATAGTAGCTGACAAAGCGAGGTTCATGTTGAAAGGACATCTTAAAACTTTCCAACGCATTGTCGGGTTTAATCATTACGATGAAACCCAAGGGCAGATGAACGATTTTCAAAAAGTCCAACTGGAACAAACCTGTATACCAAAGAGTGTTCAGCCCTGCAACCAGTCGATAATTATTTCATAATTATTAGTTGATTTGATAAGCTAATTATGAAATCACAAATTTACCCCTAATAGTTTAATATATTGAGTAATACAATTTACATTGATATAACGACTTTCGAATCAGGAGAACATCTGAAAGCACTTACCTAGATAAACCTAGTTGAAAAGCAAAGATGGGCAAAGGTGCATCGTGTAGTGATAATAAGAACAACCTTCAACGATGCTAGAATGAGATGTGATCAATCACAAACACTAGATCTTTACCAGCTGAAACTCACACCAGGTTTCATCACACAGAAATCACATTAAAGGATCAGGCATGTTCCAAGTTCTCACAGGCAGTTGACAAACATTAGCCATAAAGGTGATATCAACAAACGTGGGAGAGTGCTAGAGGAATCAGAGTATTTCAACATAAATATTTGACAGATTACAAGACTAGTTTGCAGGGATTCAGAAAACAATAAAGTAGCAAACAGAGATATGGGATCTTTAAGGTCCACTTGAAAAACAGGCAGAGAGGGGACCTCAGTTTAACACCTCATCTGAATGACTGCACCACCAACAATGTAGTACTGCCCCAGAATTGCACTGGAATTTCAGTCAGCCTAGACTTTAGAATAATATAATAATCCTTGCATTTGATATAGCGCTTTTCATGTCTTCTTGACGTCTCAAAGCGCTTCACAGAATAGACTGTAAAGTGAATTGACCGTATATTTGTGGGCGAAATCATAGAATCATACAGCACAGAAAGAGGCCATTCGGCCCATCTTGTCTGTGCCGGCTCTTTGAAAAGAGCTATCCAAAACAAATCCCACTCCCCTGCTCTCTCCCCATAACCCTGCAAACGTATCCTCCCCAAATAATTATCTACTTCTCTCCTAAACATTATCAAATCGGCTTCCACCACCCTTTCAGGAAATCATTCCAGATCCAAACAACTTGCTGTGTGAAAAAATTTCTCCTCACCTCTGCCTCTTTTAACAAATATTTTTGTGGAGCCTGTAGCTCAGTGGTTAGAGCACTCACTTTGCAAGCGAGAGACCTGGGTTCGATTCCCAGTTGGGCGAAACCTTGGGCAAGTTTCCTTACTCCACACACCTGATAATAATCCCTCAAAAAAATAATAAATTGGTCATTTCAATCCACAACAGTTTATGGAATACTGCTGTGCGCAATTGGCTGCCACATTTCGCCAACAAATATACAGTCAATTCACTTTATAGTCTATTACATGAAGCGCTTTGAGACTCTAGAAGATGTGAAAACCGCTATATCAAATGCAAGGACTATTATTATTATTATTATTAAATCGGTGTCCTCGGGTTACCAACCCATCCATCAGTAGAAATAGTTTCTCCTTGTTCACCCTATCAAATACCCTCATAATTGTGAAATTGAAATATGCTACCGCTAATCTTTTCTCATACAATCTCTCTGCCCCTCTTATTTCTTTTTTCAGTTCCTTTTCAGTTCTTGAGCAAAGGTACAGTCAAAGATTCACTTTTGATCCAAAGGCATTGCAGGATCAGATCTTATCATTCAATTCCAGCTGGGATTTCTATTGTGAAAATCCGGATGAAAATCCAGACGGAATTTGTACCAGAAACTACTGAAATCAAATGTGCTGAGTAACAAAGGGAGTGGATTATTGGTCACAGCACTGTACTGTTGATGCAACAGTGTAACTGTATCTGTTACTCTAACAGGATTAAATTTATGTCTGACAAACCAAAATTTTTATTCGTATTTTTTTCCCTATGAAACGAACCATCTCCTGAATTAATCAGCTCAGGAATTTGAATCTTTTTAAGGTATGCATTCTGCAAAATGATCATCTCAAATATAATCTGTGTTGCAACATCCACACAAAACAGTGTCACATTTCAATCAGTGATTCAGTAGAGTGTGGGTAAATATTCTGACTGCTGTGAAATATCGTTGAACGTGCCGAGAGATAAATCATTCTGCTGCACAATCCCTTTGAGAAATTCAGTTCATACCTCGTGTAAATACTGTCCACAATGCCAATCACAGCCTCCTCTGCAGGGACATACGACCCAATTTGCGCCATGATGGTGATCAAGGCCACCTGTCGGATGTAAGAACTCTTTCCTCCCATGTTAGGTCCAGTAATTACCATCACTCTCTGGCCATCTCCCTGAAAAAGAACAAGAAGATCAGTGCACAATCCGGCGGACACTCTCACCAGATTTAAGCGCTTTCAGGACATTTCTGGAACTCCATTCTGTAGTCCCTCTGCCTCACCCCCTCCCTCACCATCTTCAAGATCCATCTCAAGACCCTCCTTTTCGACTGTGCTTTCGATCTCCCTGCTTCCCCCCCTGCCCTCCACCCTCTCCCACCCCGAACCCCAGCTGTCTGTCTGTCCAGCGCCTTGGGACATCCTCCCGACGTGAAAGGCACTATACAAATGTAATTTTGTTGTTGTTACATAGCTTGTATCTTGTCACAGGTGACTAACCTACGTTTTCAGTGTAGTGCGCATAGATGGAGGATATGAATCCCAAACCACTGATCAACGAGAAGAGTAATTCACTGCGACAGAGGTAAACCTGACGAGCAATTTAAGTACATGGGAAAATCTGAACTCACACCCACAAAAAGAATGATGAACAAGCCTCACATTTCATATAACACCTTTTACGTTGGGAAGACTTCTCAAAGCGTTTCACAGGATTAACAGGACTGGTGTATTTTGTAGGCAAACACAGCAGCCAATTTGCGCACGGCAATGTCCCAAATAAAAGTGGTCATTCACTTCATGGCTGTCCCATAAACAGCCATGAAGTGAATAACCAATTATATTTGGGAAATTGTTTGCCAGCAAATTAGGTCCCCGTGACCTCTGGGCATCAGCAGGGCTTACACGATATGTGACAATGCCAATTACGTGAAATATTTCAGATACTTCATGGAGATTAAACTGAAGACGACGACTACAACAGCAAGCATTTATATGGCGTTCTTCACTTGGGGTAGCATCCCGGAGCGAAGAGACACAGCGCTGTGTGTAAGGAGGCAAAGTTTTACAGTAATGTGACTATAACTAGTCTCCAGTCCCATTACTTTAGATCCCATTTCAAATTAAAATGACCACAATCGTTGAATGAAAAATGGAGAGACAGATAATAATATTAATACAATACAAAATTACATTTGTGTAGTGCTTTTCATGTCGAGAGGATATCCAAAGGCACTGGACAGTCAAGGATTTGGACCCAAGCTGTGGGTTGGGATCGGGGAGGGTGGAGGGCAGGGAGGGTGGCCGAAGGCACGGTCGAAGAGGAGGGTTTTGAGATGAGTCTTGAAAGAGGCAAAGGAATGTGGGATGGACTTCCAAAGGATGGGGACAGAAAGGCTGAAGGCCCGATCACTGATGGTGGGGCCGAGGATGTGGAGCAGGCCATGGCCTGCTGAGCGGAGGGAGCAGATAGATTAATCTGGGGTCAGCAGGTCACAGAGGTAGGAAGGTCGTTGAGGGCCTTGAAGGCTAGGACAAGGATTTTGAACTCTATCCTCTGAGGGATGGGGAGCCAGTGGAGCCGGGTGAGGGTGGGGGTGATGGGGTCACAGAGACTGGTACGGGAGAGGACACGAGCTGCAGAGTTCTGGATGATCTGCAGCTTGTGGAGGGAAGAGTTGGGGAGGGGAACTAATCCTTGCATGTGATATAGCGACTTATCACGTCTTTGAGACAGCTCAAAGCGCTTCACAGAACTAACTGTAAAGTGAATTGACTGTATATCTTGTGGGCAAAAGATGGATACATTTGGAAAGTAAGGGTTTAAACGATATGGAGGAACAGCAAAGATGTGGGAATAAAAAGATAAAGAGCTGTCACAAAGTAATAGTAAATAACAAAGCACAATAGTCTATTCCCGTGGATCAATTTACATTTAGTGTGTGGTACTGACCATATTTCAATGTAACTTTGTAAATAACAAGGCTAGACGATTCTTACGATGTAAATCACACTAAAATCGACTCATCATGTACTCTCCACACATTAACCAGTAGGTGCATTCACTCGTTCAAATTGATTACTACAGCAAAGTGTCAGACCGTTCGTTGCAGTTAGAAATAAAAAGGATGTTGTACCACGAGCAGAGGAGAAAGACAAATTGTTGCCACCCACATAGCTAAATAAAGTTAGGCTACCCAGATTAGGAATAGTCACAGAAAAGTTTTGCTTTAAGATCTTTTGTTTGTACAGTAGTAGCCTCTTGTATAAGACTTGTGGCAAGAGATCATGTTGGGTCCTCTTCACTGGAATATCCTGCAAACTTATACAGCAAAAAGGAATCATTTTCAACATTTTAAACTAGGGTCTAAAATGTAAGGTCCGAAAATCAAAGTCAAAATTACAATAATGATAACCTTATATTTGATATAGCACCTTTTACACTGGGAGCACGTCTCAAAGCACATCACAGGAAATACTGTAAAGCGGAAGGACTGTGTGCTTTCTGGGTAAACACAGCAGCCAATCTGCGTAGTTTAATGCAATTACCCAATTAACAAACATTGCACCTTAGAGCCCAAAGTTCAAGTGTTTCAGGTCGGAGGCAGACACGTTGCAGTAGGAGGATGGGGATTACACAAACAGAGAATGAACTAGATTCAAGAACTAATAAAGACCACACCATCTCTGCCCTGACCACTTCAACTACAAACTTCTTGCTCTCACTCGCCTCTCCAAAACTTCCTTAACGTGCTGGACAATAAAAGTTCCACTATATTGGAATCAATTTTGAGCAACTCACCTCCAGCATGACCAAATGTATTGGGCAGGATTTAGAGAACAGTGACATGAGCAATTATGGGACTTAAGGTTTAAAATTGTAGAAATGGGCTTGTTTCATTAGCAAAAAGAGTCTCGGGTCTTTAAAATAATGGAATATAGAGTGGAATAAGCTACTTAAAGCTGAACTTTGTCAGGGAGCTATCGTGTACAATGGATGAGCCCTTAGATATTAGAAGAAATGCGTCTGTTACAAGTGTGGCAGATACTAATGCTAATTGACCAAGGAGTTAGATGAATATCTGGTGAACTGCAAGACTGGAGGTGATGAAGATTTAATAAAAACACATAGATAATCAAATACTCAAAGGAACACCATGGTCCCAGACTTCCTGGTACCTGATCATTTCTGGAACTCTGATCTGGATAACGGAAATTGTTATGTTCGAATGATAACTTTGAGACTTTTCTTGATTACATTTGAAGACTTGGTTTGACTGAGATTTATCTTCTCAGAGGTTGCCTGTGGTTATTCACATTTGAGGATATTCCACTACACATGCTAGTCCGCTAGGACACAAGCAAGCCCCTCGAGAATGGGAAGTCAGAGCTGACTGCCTGCTCAAGTCAATGACAGGGCACGTGGGTTAAACCAATTTAAAAAATAGGATTAAAAATTTTGGGAGAAAGAATGAGGAGAAGCTGTATAAGCTAGATGGTACAATCTTAAAGGGGATGAAGGAACAGAGAGACCCGTGGGTTCATATAAGCAAATCTTTGAAAGTTGGCAGGACAGGTAGATAAAGCTGTCAAGAAAGCATACGGGATACTAGGCTTTATAAATAGGGGCATAGAATACAAAAGCCAGGAAGTTATGATGAACCTTTATAAAACACTGGTTAGGCCTCAGATAGAGTACTGTGTTCAGTTCTGGGCCCCACACTTTAGGAAGAATGTCAAGGCATTGGAGAGAATGCAAAGGAGATTTACCAGAATAGTACCAGGAATGAGGGACTTCAGTTATGAGGACAGCCTGGAGAAGCTAGGATTATTCTCCTTGGAGCAGAGAACATTAAGAGGAGACTTAATAGAAGTTTTCAAAATTATGAGGGGATTCGACAGGGTGAACAAGAAGAAACTATTTCCATTGGCGGGTGGGTTAAAATAGTTGTTAAAAGAAACAGAGGAGAAATTTTTTCACACAGCGAGTTGTTTGGATCTGGAATGCATTGCCTGAACCTGAATTGGTGGTGGAAGCTAATTCGATAACAACTTTTAAGAGAGAAGTAGATAATTATTTGGGGAGGACAAGTTTGCAGGGTTATGAGGAGAGAGCAGGAGAGTGGGATTGATTTGGATAGCTCTTTTCAAAGTGCTGGCACAGACACGATGGGCCGAATGGCCTCCTTCTGTGCTGTATAATTCTATGATTCTATAAGAAAGGTATAATTTGGACACTTATTGATATAAAAATGTTCCTCTATTGCCAGTTTTCGGTCACGTTAAGTGGAGGAGCTGCCTAACTCATTTTGGTTGGACCGTAAAGATCCTATGAGACTATTCGGAAAGGGGAGGGAGTTTGACCTAGTGCCTTAGCTGGGCGGTGGGGGTGGGGGGCGTGGTGTGTTGGTGCAAAATGGATAATGAGTTCCCAGTCAAATATAGTCACCACACTTTACAGTGATTGCCTGTGAATTACCTTGAGACATTTCATTTCAGTAAAGCACAATGGAAATGGAAGTTCTTGTTTTTCTTCTGACTCTTCAAAGCTACCCATGTCACTTATGTGACTGTAAGCATAAAGGAAGCCCAAATATTCCAGTATAACATAGCACAAGTCAGTGTGAAGAAGAGCTAGCAATAATGAAAGGAAAACTTCACCACTGGGGATTAATTCCCTTTGAGCACTTTACTTGGAACAGTAAAATTCATTTTCGATTGCAAAAGCTTTGATATTACAATCGTGCTTTGTTTTAAAATTCATTGTTTATCGATATTATGCACTGTGTTTGCTAAGTTGTAATCCATATGACTTGGTGCATTCAACTAAGATTTGATAAAATTTTAATGTGCCACATAATTTTGCATATCATGGGGGTGTCAACCGAAGAGATATCGGCGGTTTGAATCAGGTAGCAACCCTTCTCAATGGTGTGCGCTGAAGCCAAATTGCTGCCAATTACAATCATCATGGAGAACTCTGAATACTAATGAAATTATATTTCAGGAAAGGCTGACTTGACTCCATATTGCCAGTCATTACCTTTGTGCAGGGCTATTTGTTTAAATGCACCATTGGTGCTCAAAAGGACAGACCAGGCCAGGGCTAAGAATTGAACCTGGAATTGAACCCAGGTGTCTCGCTTGTGAGGTGAGTGCTCTTACCACTGAGCTGCAGGACTCCACATACATTTTGATCTTTAATCTCTGAACCATGATCTGAATGTCCTTGTTTAAAAGTAATGTCCTATTTTACAATCTTCTCAGCTTCTTTTATAAGTCAAGAAACATTGATCCAGGCAATGGACCTCTTTACTTTAATAACCTGGGCAATTGCGATGTAAATGGGTGCCAGAAATACACCCAGGCATTTTGTTTATCCTATATTTTTAGCCATTAAAACTATACCTCTCGCCATCATTTCTATACTTGTTTGTGGTTCAAAACTGCCAGGCTTCCTGAATGTTGGATCATTGTCCAGGATTGAACCATGCAGACATTTTATTTGGGTTGTTCAGCCGGCAATGGCATCCCATCGAGATCAATGACCATGATAATTTGACCAGCTCTTGGTATGATTTGTGAACCTCTGCTGCAGCAAGTAATGTGAGCAGCTCTCCCAACTGCAAACGCAAAATGAGGCAATAGAAACTGTTTACTCACGTGTAGGTCAGTGTTGTTTGGAACATACTGCTCCTGTTCTGCCAGGAGTATATCAATCACGGGGTGCCTGCCAGTCCTGATCACAAGCTGTCTCTCCTCTTCCAGTACAATCGGCCTGTACAATTAAATGCATTATTTAATACTTTGATGAAATATGCTTATTCCTGCTATATATCCTGAACCATCAAGATCACAGCCCAACAATGCGATTCTCCACTCTTTGTTTTGGAGTTTTGTTTGTTATTGTTCTTATCAGGTTGGAGGTCAACAAGGTTTAGTATTAAATAGTTGACCAAAAATAGCACTGATCAGTTGCAGCCTTGATGGTGGAGAGCAGGGTTTCTCAACCTGTGATCACAACCCAAAATTTCATCACCAGAATGCATCAAAGGGTTGCAAACAGATTTAGAAAATGTAATAATTTTACAATCTTTTAAAAATGAATGCCACTAGTGTTACACTGCATGTTAATGATGTGAATGAGCTGCTACCACGAGAACAGCAACCGCAAGAACTGCAGGTTCTAAATCCTTGATGTTCGACAACAACCGGGGACTGTCATGGCCGATAGTTACAAAGGCCATTCGTTAGATTAATATGAACAGCATAGCAATTGTTGTGCAACGTTGAGAATTTAGAACCTGCCGTTCTTGCAGAAGCTGTGTAATAAAGTTATTTAAACAGCAGCAAGTGCCAGCCACTAGGCCAGTCAAATCTGACGTTCCATCATTTTACTATTTTACTGTCATCGTGCAGTGGGCAGTTTGAAGTGTGTTTTAATCAGAGAAGCGAGTCTTGTCATCAGTAAAATGGAGAAATTCCTAAAATGGTCTTTTGCATGTAGCAGTGATAGTGGGAAATTCTTTTACCCTAAACTTTAATAAATTCATCAAGCTCAGATTTCTGATTAAGTGGAACTTAGGCTTTATAAAACAAATACTTAAGTATTATATTTTAATATGCTGCATTTAGTGCTTATTGTATTCAGTGTATACTATATATCATGGATAAGAAATATTAGTAAATCATGTGTTTTTTGCACTAAAGGCATTTACCATGTCGTGACAGTCTATCAAGGTTTACCGATAGGGCCTGAAACCAAAAAGGTTGAGAGCCACTGGTGTAGAGGATACAGGTGCACCTTATGGATTTGGAGTTTGGTGGTTCGAATTCTGGTCCTTGCTGAGATTGCTGGTGTCAGCCATGGGTGGAATAGGAGGGCTAAATGTGTCCCAGCCTTAATAATAATCTTATTGTAAGAATAATATTCCTTCCATTTGATATAATACCTTCATGTTAGGAGGATATCTCAAAGCGCTTCAAAGGATTTACTGTAAAGTGTAACGACGCTGTATTTTTGTAGGCGAACATAACAACCAAATTGCACACAGGACAGCCACATTTAATAACCTATTTTATTTGGGGGATTGTTGGTCAGGACACTGGGAGAAATTCCCTTCTTTTTTCAAATAATACTATAGGATCTTTAACATCCACCTGAACAGACAGACGACCCCTCAATATAAAGTCTCATCCAAAGGATAACACCTCCAACAATACACTGACAGCCATTGAGTTCAAAGTTCCGACTTGGGGCTTTAACCTACAATTCGCATGCAGAAGCGAGAGTACAAGTCAATAGGATGAGAGAGGGGAAAATCCACACATAGTTAGGGAGGGGAAAATCAGACATGGAACCTGCTCCTGGTCCCTCTACAGAATCCACTACAGTTTCTAAATGTGGGAAGAGATTAGCTTCAGCTATAATGTCTTCCACAGTCAAGTGGCCAGCCAACATTACCGAAGCTCACACATGAACAATGCCCACTGCGGGGTACCAGAGGGGTAGAAAATAGCACTGATCAACAGTAATACAAAGCTCTGATCAATACACTACAGTACTAACACATAGTACTCCCATCTTATCATACAAGACATACACACATTGTTCACCCCCAGATCTTATACCATATACAGGGGGTCAATTTCACACACTGTTCTTCTTAACAGATTACCTAACTAAGAAATCTATGGGGGAATTCCTTCTGGTAACAAGATGCACATCAACAAATCACTCTGACTCAACAGAAACCCTCTCAAAAACCAGATTCGTTGGAGTGCTATTTCCGCAAATTAGCAACACAAACATCCGGATTAAGAAATACATCAAGTACTGCCACTTAATTTGAAGTAAATTTAATAGATTGAATAAAGCAAGAGCTAGACGCATGAAAAGTTGCTTGACTCACTGGTAGGACCACTGGACAATGTAACCTTTCTGCACAAAGTGCTTGTCACTTCAGGTTAACTCATTTCTCTAATTTTCACTATTTGTGTTTTGTTGTCTGGAGAAAAAGTATCCCCTTTAATCTCAAGCTTAAACTTCAGTACACAGTGTCATGGCGCTGATGCCCTCCTATAGATTCTACCCAGCAAATGGAATATGACAGGGCTAAAGTCTCAGAAAGCGACTCAGATGCTGGTAGAACTTTTGCTTTTATTCCACCAGCTTTAACCAAGTGAACAAGTAACATTTTCTCTTTAGATAAATGCTTAAAAGCAAATGTATTTCTTTCTGATGCATCAGTCAGTAGCTGGTACTTTAAAAGCTTGGGAAACTGCTTAATATATCGCAAATAATTGAATCATTCCAGAGTGGCTTAAAATTGTCCTGGATCTCTTGATGCAGAAAAATCAGTGAGCTGAAAGTGGACTGAATTCCTTACAACACCAAAGATGTCAAGCTAACCGAATGCAGTGATGTTAGAGGAACTAGAACCGAACCTTACATGCATGCTGTTTAACTTATTTAAACATTAAAATATAGATATAATTGAACTTATTGCTATTTAATTCATTTTAAGGCAACAACAACTTGCCCTTCACCCTGGATAGCGTCCTGGAGCTCTTGTCTCTGCATTAATACATTTGAGAGGAAACAATGCATATACAAGAAAGAATGGAATGGAGGGGTATGGAAGAGACGAGGGAGGGAGGATAAGGATGGAAGGAGGCTCCTTTGGAGCATAAACACTAGCATGAACTAGTTGGGCCGAATGCCCTGTTTTGGTGCCACTCGTTCCAATTTTAGGGCAAGTTCCCCCCACCCACCACTGGGAAAAACAAAAGACCTCAGAGCCAAATCAGTAGAAAAAAGGTAGTGAAGTGAGCTCCAGGAGAGGGCCAGCTATCAGCATCACCTACAAGGGAATACTGCTCAATAACTCAATTGGATTGCTTAAGTTCTTGTACCATCCAATGAATGGGCTGAGAGCTTTAAGTGGCAACAATCGAGCGACCCCAATGTAATTCACATCCTCCACTCTTTTACTGTACAGGTGAGAATCCTACTGCTCGACACCATTTCCACTAAAATGGTTTTATTCTGAACACACCCCACGTTTGGTGGAGAACTGCTAAAACGATGGTAATTTGCTGCTATGTGCATTTGGCATATTAGACAATTAGTGTAAATCCAATGGAAAAGTAAATCCAATGGAAAACGTTTCCATGCCCCAAACTAGTATCTTATTACACTACAGCAACCCCCCCCCCCACACACATCAAACGCCTCCAGGTGATCCATCACTACTTTTTCACCCACAAAATATACAGTTAATTCACTTTATAGTATATTCTGTGCAGCGCTTTGAGATGTCTCGAAGCCATGATAAAGAGCTGTATCAAATGCAAGGATTATTATTTATTATTACTACTCCCTCTAACATCATCCTAAAATATCAATCAATTTCTTGTTTTATTTCCTATTTCCCTGCCTGCGTTATATTTAAATAACAAACCAAGAAATTTCCCCTGATGCCATTCCTGCACAATTCGTCACTGTTTGATTTTCAAAGTATCCATATTCACTCGTAAAAGGATTATATCTGACCCTTGGATGTATAGTATGATGCTCGTTAATCCTCACCGCCTTCTCTTCTTTAGTTTTAGGATATTAACGTCCCAATACTATAATCACAACAGTTGCAATGACCTATTTGCACAGCCAGCCATACAATTACCTATATTCATGAACGATTAAGTATAATATGAAGCTTTGTGATCTCATTGTCAACCTGCAATTGCTTCCCTCCCGGTGACCTTGTGAAATAATATACTATTAACAAGGGATGTTCAACCATCAGAGTCACGCATGAACAGCATGCATTGAGAATCATACCATAAGCAGATATGTTGATTCACTGATAAGAATATATAGAGCAGAAACTCAGCTTGCACGGTTTCAGTACAGACCAACAGTCTCCCCAGAAATAACTGGTCATTCACGACATGGCTGTTTGTGGGACCTAGCTGTGTGCAAATTGGATGTTGTGCTTCCCTACAAATAAAGTCACTACACAGTGCAGTAAATCCTGTGAAGCGCTTTGAAAAGTTTTGTCGACATGATAAGGCGTTATATCAAGGTTTATCGTTGTAATTAGTCTGGAAGAAAGGATCCAAGTAGCCAACAGATGCCAGACAGAGACAAATACCGCAGAATCAGAGCAGAAACAGAAGGAACTCTGAACAGCAGGCAAGAGACCGGATAATAAAAACATTCTTTATTAATTATTATTACCTGCAATATCCTCCTTGCTTGGCAACTGCTGCCAATGAGAAGATGCAGTCAATGGTTGCCAGGTGACTGGTTGCCTTTCGTATTGCATGATAATGCTCGCCAAACTGACTGAATTTAAAAAAAAAGTAAACATTACCTAGTATGGAAAAAATAAACATGCAATAAAATATTCCTCAGTAAACATGACTATTTTATTTCAATTCATTTCCCATAAGAAACAGTTACACAATCTAGATATCTAATAAAACTGCACCTCACTGCTTATTCTTAGACCATCACACATACAACACGTTAGATTTGGGAAACATAAAGACATCCATTGAGCTGGCATTTCTGCAGATTTATCCAGCATTAAACGTGCCTCTTTGAAGTTCTGCTTTGTCTCACATTCGATTCTTGAAATATACAAGTGGATGTGGAAGTTTTATGCCAAAACGCCAGCACTAACTAGTACTTAATGTAGAAACTCTTACATAGAAAGTAACGTAGAAATACTGTGGTTTATCCTCTTCAAAATTGCAAATCCTAACCATGAGGTAAATAAGTGCCAGCAAATCACAACATTTGAATCTGGTTTAACTGGACCCATTGGACAGGAGTTTAAAAGGGCAAACAAGGAGATCAATGAGAAGCTAGGGTTCTGAAACAGTGAAAAGCTAGTCATACATCAGTGCAATTAGAGAATGAAAGTACACTTTGTCCCTGTATTGCAAATCTAATATTCTATTTAAGATTCAGACTAATATTCCACCTTTACACAATATTCAACGCACCCACAAAAAAAATTCTAAGTAATTGTCCACATAGTTTGTGAAACATGGCTGACGCAGACTGGTTTCCATGTCTATCTTCATCATAGCAGTCACTACACTTCAAAGTAACTCTTTTTGTTAAAACTATTAGAGATGCATCAACATGTTAAGCCACTATATTGAATGCAAGTATTATTCAATCTTATTTTATTGCTGATTAACCATTTTCACAATGAATTATCAAATCTAGGTCCAAAGTGTCTTGTTATTCAGGTGGACGTTAACACTTCCACTGATACTATTTTAAGCAAAGGTGGAAGATTTCTCTCAGTTATCCTGGTTACTGTGCCTCCCTCATACTGCTTGTGCGATGTTAAATTACCTGCCATTGTTTGCCCATACAGTAATATTGATTTAGTTTCTAATTATTCTCATTTTGTGGAATACTTCGAGATATTCATCCTATGTGAAAGGCGCTATCTATAGAACCCTAGAAATTTATAGCACAGAAGAAAGCCATTCAGCCAATCGTGTCGGTGCTGGCTCTTTTGAACGCTAATCCTTTCAGACTGATTTACCTGCATTTCCCGGATTTTTACATCACTAAGCCACACGTTGAGAAACAAGCATCTTTAGGAGACCAATAAGAGTATTGAGGTGATAACTGAGGGGTGGGGTCACTGGTACATGTTATAGTATTCAATGATTGGTTTATGTAACACAGACACCCATTTTCTAATCTCTTAGCTCTAGTTTTCCCTTCAAGCTCAATCCTCTGTACCTACTCCAGTAAGTTCAGCCACTCTACGCTGCAGTCAAGGACGAGCTGCTCTCGAAGCTGCAACAGACGCTTGTGCTGCTCCGCAATGAACGGAGTATGGAAACGGCACAGGGCTTTTGTACTGTGGATTTAAAAAAGAGAGAGAAAATCAAGGTTACCAATCAATCGGTTATGTCAGCAGTAGAGGAAATCAAACTCACAGCAGCTTCTTTCTGAATTAGCCTTGGAAAAAATAATCAATGGAGAAAATAAAAATCCCATTAACATACAAGACCCACAGTCAGTGCAGTTCATTATACTACAGGAAGCACTCAGTCACTAAGGTACACACACTTGAAGAGAAGGTTTGCATTGTGCGATAAATTGAAGAGCTGTGCAGCCCAAACATCAATTTTTTTNACAAAAAAATCACAATTTTCCTTTCATTTATCGAAATGAATGGGGATACTGACTATGTGACAAACAACTCCAACAACAACCAAGTATCAAGTAAACCCAGCAGGTTCAGCATCATCTTGGTCTCGATCCATTGAAACTTGTATTTTTGTAAATACAAACAAAACAAAATAATCAAGTTGACGGACAACAATGCCCAAGCAGTTCAAAAAGCAAATAAAATATTCTCTGTTTAGAGAGAGAGCACTTATCTTTGCAAATAATTTCAAAATCGTTCCCAAAGACAAAGCCCAGAGAGGTCACCAAACAACCACAAAAAAAATGTGATCACTTTAGGTAAAAGAGTATCATCAAGACACACTGCACCCTCCCCCACTCCCCCCAAAGATCGCGAGGTTAGCTTAGCTCATTTGAGACACCAGGCCTAAAATTGGCCTCTGTGCCCTCGGTTAGAAGGGGGCAAATTATCCAAGGCTTCCACTCTCTCCTACTATCTTGAAACTCCTTCTGCAAGGTATGTGTGTTGTTGGGTAAGGATTACAGCTGCCTCTCTACAGTCCAATGGCCTGCCAACACTCACAAACAAAGCTCCCACATGAGCAACGGCCATGTGACAAACAATAGGAGTTTTACAGGAGTTGCCAAAGAGCAGTGACTGCAGTACATATTGGCTACAAAATACCCAGATGCTTGAGTTCCCTGCTCTTACAGAGCGAGTCAGCCATACCATCAATATTGCTCATTAAAGTGATTACGATCAACATTTCTTTTCCCATTTCTGTTACTTGTGAATAATTTTGTTTATGGTGGTGAGAAAAATGTCTGATGCGATATACGTACGAACTCCGACAATGTGTCACTGACAAGATTGAATTCCCAAATGAAGAGTTTAAGTAGTCACTGAAGAACTACAGGTTAATCCCTATCCAATTGTGTTATTTTATCTCTCCCTTCCCTCCTTGTGCAGAAATTCCCTCCAGACTCCCTCCTCCTCCTCCCCTTGTCCAGACAGAGTCACTGCTGAACACACCCATGTTCAAAACAATCGATCAGTTTGCATTCAGGAAGATATGACGTTCTGGCATTTAGGTAACCATCCAGATGAAAGGAAGCCTGCTGATGCATCTTGCTCTGATGTGCTGTCTTCTGCAAACTGCGCCTCAATTGTATCAACAGATGACAATGCTCTGAATGCAAGTTAATTCTATTATGTCCACCCACTACTTAAAAATGAATGATTTCAAACAAGCAGTCCATTCACATATCGTCTCCACAGACCCAGGATAGTAAAACTAATTATGTCAGCATATAAGCACACACTAACAGCAGGAAGAACTTCCAGTGGAACACATTTTAATGATATTATTCTTCAAAATAATGGTCAGGTGTCCTTTTAATTCTGTACATATTTGCAGGAACACTGAACAAATACGATAAGAGCAGACGGTCGCAGAGCTATCACAGCCTCATTCTCCGTGAGCTTTGAAATCCGCTTTTATTTTATTTTAAATGGAAAATGTGCATGTGTCCAGCTCACAGCACAGTGACCCATTTCAATAGAATTGAACTTTGGAGGGATGATAATTGAAATAATAAAAGCCGGACAATGAGGGTGAACTGTCAAGCCTCATATAATGTGGTTATAAGACGCCCATCACCCCCACCTCCCCGCCTCCAATCCCCAACTTGAGTGCCCAACCAGCACTGTCAAGTTCTTTGAGACGTCCTGCCTCCACGAAAGGCACTATAAAAATGCAAATTGCACTGTATTGTATAATGTTATAATATTTGCGCAGCTCTCAGCGCGAAAAGAAAATTCTGGGTCATCAGGTCCCTGTCAGGATCACTTCCTGTTTGCTTCACAAAGCAGGAAATGCCGTTGACCATTTGTTTTGGGCAGGAGGCTAATATGGCTGACTTCCGGGACTTTAAGTCGCTTCCACCACTGCTTCCTGCTTTGCGCATGTACAAGGATGTGATGTCAACAGTGATCTAATGACAAAGGAAGGGATTAGAGGGGTAAAAGATAGGGGATTAGGAAGAGTAGATCCTTGTATGGAGTATAAACACTAGGACTGACAAGTTGGGCAGAATGTCCTGTTTTCGTGCTTTAATGTTCTATGTAATTTTTAAAGATATGTTGAGAAGTTTATCAAGTCTGAATTCTCTCTTATTCTCCGAACCTTGCACATTTGTTAATATAACAACAAGATTACATTTCTATAGCACCTTTCACGTCGGGAGGACGTCCCAAGGCGCTGGACAGTGTACAGAATTTCAATAACAACAACAAAATTACATTTACAGAGCACCTTTCACATCGGGAGGACGTCCCAAAGCGCTGAAACCCTCAGGTCCGTGAAAATTAAGCAAAGGAGGAGAGGTAGTGTATGAGGATGGAGTGTAAATAATAATAATAATCCTTGCATTTGATATTATGCCTTTCACATCTTCTAGATGTTTCAAAGCGCTTCATTGAATATACTGTAAAGTGAATTGACTGTATATTTGTGGGCGACTGCACACAGCAGTGTCCCACAAACAGTCATGGAATCAAGTGGCCAATTTATTATTGTTTTTTTCTTGAGGGATTGAGTAAGGAAACTTGCCCAAGGTTTTGCCCTGCTGGGAATCGAACCCAGGTCTCTGGCTTGCGAGATGAGTGCTCTAATCACTGAGCTACAGGACTCCACTATAAAGCATGAAATATAACATAGCACAATATAGCATTAAATTAACAAGCACTGTATAAACCCTGGTTGTTCAATTACACATACAGTATATCTGATTTGCCTCGCTAGGGAAGACATGATAAGCAGGAAAGTTCTGGCAATTTTATCGACTTGCAGTAACACAACACAAGATAAGGATTAAACTATGTGAAAGGAGTGTGTGTCCCTGCACGGGTAGTGGAATTACGCAATTATCCTCAAATCTAATGTCAGAACACTAAGCATGACAAGAACACTTCAAATTATCAACGTTCACAATGCCTGACATTTTAACAACTTTATAAAGTGCCCTTCACGCAGGATAGTTTATCAGAGCCCTGTAAGGTGGTGAGGTTTGATACCAAAGGAGAAAGAGGAGGGGACCACAGTCAAAGAAGTGGGTCTTTAGGTGGGATTTAAAGATAGATTTGGTAGGGGGGGGAGGGGTGGGAATGGAGGTATTAAAGCAGGGATTTACGGTGTATTTGTTTAGCCACTATGGGCACGGCTACCGATGGTGGTGCAGAGGGGACAGGCCTGTGTTAACTGAGTTTCAGCACAAGTTTTAATCTCTTCTTCACTAACTTGACACAATTCCAACTTCTTAACAATCCGATCTAATGCTCCTTGATGTTTGACACATTGATCCACGCTCGCAGAGCTTCGCTTGGTGCCTGAGGAAATTTTAGCTTTGGACACACCATAAATAATTGAGCATAACGATAATAATAATAATCCTTGCAATTTATATAGCGACTTATCATGTCTTCAAGACGTCTCAAAGCGCTTCATAGAATACACTGTAAAGTGAAATGACTGTATATTTTGTGAGCGAAACGTGACAGCTAATTGCGCACAGCAGTGTCCCACAAACAGTCATGGATTGAGTGACCAAATTTTTTTTTAAAAGGATTATTACCCCTGAAAAAGCAATCCACCAATCGACTAACAACCAGGTTTCTACTTACTGCGAGATAAACAGAGGCGTTTGGTGTAAGGAAACTTGCACAACGTTTCTCCCTGCAGGGAATCAAACCCAGGTCTCTCACTTGCAAACCCAGGTCTCTCATTTGCAAGGCAAGGCAAGTGCATCCTAAGCTACCCTACAAAGACTCCCCGTCATCAAGCACAGGAGTATTGAAGCCAGTTCTGGACTGATGAATAGATTCTATCCATACAAGCTTTGATCAATGCGCTCAATCTGAGCAAATCTGTGTCAACCTATCAGTCAGAAGATTGTGAGTTCGAGCACCCACTTTGGAATTTGTAACTCAGTCTATGCTGACACCAATGCTGTCTACGTAGACATCATAGTCTATGTTAACCCCAATGTAGTCCTGGGAAGTGCTGTATTGTTTGAGATGCTGTCTTTTGTATGTAATGTTAAACCGAGGTCCTGTCTGCCTGTTCAAGTGGATGTTAAAGATCACTTGGCTGTATTTAAAAAAAGAGAGTTTCTCCTGGTATTCTGGCTAACAATTCTACCCCTATGCCCCCAGAATTGGTCATTCACTTCATGGCGGTTTATGGGTCTTTGCCATGCATAAATAGGCTCCTGCGGTCACCTACAAAATACACAGTCACCTCGAACAATGCAAAATACACAGTCACCTCGAACCCCTGCATTGCCAGGAATGTCAAACTATACTCCGCGAGTCCAAAGTCTTGACATGGGGGTTGAAACCACAACCCTTCTGACTCAGAGGCGAGAATACGATCAACTGAGCAGGACCGACATCGACTAAGCCAGGATGACAAGTGAACCACTGGTAGAAATTATTTTTNAACAGCAAAGAAGAATGCCATTCGGCTCATCGTATAATCGAACGTCAGAAGGAATATTGAACATTTTATAAATGGATGAGCAAAGAATCAGTGTCACTGCATACCTGGAAACTTTCACCCAATTCTTTGGAATCATAGGGAGCAGAGAATTTTTGACCTCAATCAGAAACTGGGAAGATAAAACAGGATTATTGTTACAATCTACACAACACACATTGAGCTAAGCCGATGGGATCACAATCCAATAACACTGTAACTGGAACTCCTGTTGTCTCTCAGATGACTGCCACAGCTCAGTCACAATCGGACGCCTTTTGGTGGAATGTAAGATAATCACAAAAAGAATTAAAGGGGAAATCTTCGAAAAACAATTATTTGCACAGAAGGTGGTTGGAAAATGAAAGTCTCTGCCACAAACTCTTAATGGAGCAGAACCCATAAATTATTTTGAAAGCAAATAAGACAAATGCTTGAAGACGAATGTTAAAGAGATCAGGGAAGAGAGCAGGCAAATGAGATAAGATTATATTACAGCAAGACGGTTATTAACATTAGTTGAGACCAGCGCCATAGTGAACAAAAAGTAAACGGTGCAGTTAATTTGACATCACAAAAAAAACATAAATTGACAATAGTGCTAACTAAAAAAACTAACTATTCATAAAATTCAGTGTGTAATGTTCATATTATCCTTCCCGCAGAGAGCCGCAGAGTACATCGTTTATGAGCCAGGCTGAATGGTCTTAGTTTAGTTGGGTGACTGCCAAAGGCTACAGCTGGCCAGTTGTTTTTATAGTATTGAAAGAAGTGGGATTTATTAAGCAACTACCAGCAAGGATTGCTGAAAATTGCTGAAGAGCATTTTGCAATGCAAATTGCAGTGACACCTTGATTGTGCGAACCATCATTTGTTTTAATATTGCATTATGAATAAAAAGTATCCATTGTACTGCTTATAAACCTATTAAGAAGAGTCTACATTTTTCAAATGCGATTGTGATTCTGTCATTCATTTTAGAATTTTGATTGCTGGCCGATTTATTGCAGGTAAATGTTCACATGAAAAGCTAGGCAGTATGGTCAAATTATGTATTTTATTTACGTATTTGAGTGTTGAGTGAGTACTGTGTCCAATTCCGGGAACCACATGTTAGGAAGGATGTCAGGGCCTGGGAGAAGGTACAGAGAAGATTTACAAGAATTATACCAGAGATGAGGGTTTAAAATTATGTGGAGAGACCAGAGAGGCTGGGATTCATCTCCTTAGAGCAGAGAAGGTTGAGGGAAGATTTAATAGAGGTGTTCAAAATTATGAGGGGTTTTGATAGAGTAGATAAGGAGAAACGGTTTCCTCTGGCAGATGGAAAGATTTAAGATAATTGGCAAAAAAAACAGAGGGGAAACAAGGAGAAATGTTTTGACCCAGAGTTGTTACGATCTGGAATTCACAGCCTGAAAGGGTAGTGGAAACAGATTCAACAATAAGCTTTAAAAGTGAATTAGATAGGTACGTACAAAGGAAAAAATTGCAAGGATATGGGGTAAGAGCGGGGGAGTGGGACTAGTTGGTAGCTTTGTCAAAGAATCGGCAAAGGATGAGCCAAATGGCCTCCTTCTGTACCGTAAAATTCTATGATTCTATGTGGAATCAAGAGGGCTACCAACCAAGCCAATCTGACAAGCTTTTGTGTTGTGTGTATTCAAGCCTACCAGAAAGCATGCTAGCACTCAAATACCACTTCACTGGCACTCTTTTGACCTGGACTATTTTACCTCTAGCCCTGAAACTGTAGCGTAATTAAACGAGGGCTTCTTCAGGATCAATCGGATCTCGCTGCAATGCTCCTGAAGTTGGGAAAGGACATCCCAAATCTCCTCCTTTCTCTGTTGAATTATAGGGAAGTCGGTGAGGTCTGCAAAGAGTCCAGTTTTATCACCTACCCTGGAAGCAAGATCAGACACAGCTTCAACATTTAGGTTACAGACAGTGCATCGATTTGCATTTTTTCATCTAAAATTCTTTTTACAATTGGAAAGGGTATTATTTTGCTGTTAGAATTCTTAGTACTGCTTCAGGAGATTTAAAGGAGAGCTTTGTTTTAAATTAAAGGTTTACTTATTCCAAATGTAATTTTCTTTTGTAAAACATTTAAAAGCAGCCCACCCTCATTCCATCTGGTCCTCTAACAAGCCAAAGTCATCCAAGTTCAAACGCAGCAATGAGTCTAATAATATTTCACAATTACCACAAGTCAGTAAGGAAACCAAACCCATGTTATTTAGGAAACTCAGGTTACAGATTAGAGCGAGGAGGGAAAAAAATGTCCAGCACTAGCTTCCTGTCTGTGCAGCATAACCAGGAATGGCTGGCAGGGCAGGGGATTTAATTTTTAAATAAAAGTGATAAGTAAGAGAACAAGAAAAACAGGTTTATTTTTAATTCCAAGCAAAGGAATTGTCAGATTAACCCTCGGAGAACCTCTGGCATGTTACTCCCTCCTGGTGGTGCCATGGATAGAATAACAGCAATGTTCCAGGCTACAACACACCTAAGCCTCGATGATAATAATAAGTGCAGGAATCCTGGAATCCTGTTTCTTCTAGACAATATGATTTGTTGAAAGAAATATATGCAGAACAAATAAAAGTACTATTCCACATTAAATAAATTACACGTACAAAGGAGATGAAGGCTAGCACATTGAGAAGGTTGGAAGGACAAATAGCACCTATGCAATCATTACTGCTGAACCTACCTGGCTGCTTTTTCATTTAGAATCTTTAAATAATGCTGCACAGGGGCCAAAAGCTGTGGCAGCTCCAAAAGAATATTACGCAGAAGCGAAGAATGCAACTGGGATTCAGCAGCTGGAACCAGTGCTCGGAAGGTTGTCTCGATACAGGATAAACTGCTGACAAGCAGGAAGAACTCCCTTGTGGAACACTATAAAAAAAACATTGTGATCGATTACAGGCTTTGGCAAATACACTCAATTATTCACATGATTAACATATACCCCTCTCCTACAATCTCCCAGCTACAACTGACACCCAAAATACCACGATAATCATCTTAAAATTTAAGATTGTGCGGAAGTTTGGAAATGACTTAAAACTTCAGAAGCTGATTTTCTGTGGTTATCTTATATAACGAACAATCAGCTACCGAATTAAGACTGAATTTACCAATTTCCTCAAAATTGCACACAATCTTATTTTTTGACACACTGGTTTATTTTTAAACCTCTACTTACTCTGAACTTTCAGCGTTATTTTTCTCCGAACTGAAATACAGTGGGCTGCTAGTCATCTAAATCGGTCTTATTATTATTAATTATTTATAATAATTTACATTTGATATAGCACCTTTTCATGACCGAAGGCCATCTCAAAGCACTTCACAGTATTTACTGTAAAAGGGAGGACTGCATATTTGTCGAACACAACTGTGCGATATATTGTTGAAAGAGCCATCCTTTGGGTGAGATGTAAAAACTGAGGTCCCATCTACCTATTCAGGTGGACATTAAAGATCCAATGACACTGTTTGAGAATAGAAGATAGCTTCTCTTATTGTCCTGGCCAACCATCCCCCTGATAACATTGGCCATTCACTTCATAGTTGTGCAAAAACTGGCTGCTGTGACACCTACAAAATACTGATAAACACTGTGAAACGCTTTGAGATATCCTCCCAACATGAAAGGCACAGCATCAGATCAAAAAGTTGTTCTAAAGATGATTACTGTTATTATCAATAATAATATACTATTATAAGAAATCGCACAAAGTCCATCACCTATAATTTACTATCAAATAAAAGGAGATTAAATCAAGCCTGATTCCCAGTGTATAGATACAGGGGAATCCTTAGATACAAATTGGAAAATCCACATTCTCCAACAGGATTACTGGATGAAGCACATGCAATCAAGATTCAATCCCAGTCACGTGTATAACTGAAAAATCATTTGTGGACTTCTTTGCTGGCATTTTCTAAATAGATTAAAAAGTGCTCCAAGCGATGACCTGGCATTAGTTTACGCTCATTGCATTTATGTACCTTTTTGTGATAAATGCTACAGATGCCTCTCTCCAGATCAGGCAGCTTAAACAGCAGCTTCTGGGTTTTTGCCAAGACGATGGACTCTGATGACAGGATTTCACTGATTGCATCCAAACGAGCATTAACCTCTCTGCGGAACACCAGGGTGGGATTGAAGAAGACAATTAAAATGAGCGACTATCAACTTTCAAAAGAGGGGCCCATTTAAACTCGTACATGTCAACCAAAAGGCTTCAGGAAGACGCAGAGTTTCTTTTGAAAAACTAACCTCTGCAAAATACATGCAAAATAAAAAATATATACATATAGGCATTTTTTTTTTGCCAGTGTTGTAATATTTAACACTGAACCCCTTTTCTTGCTATATTCAAGAGCAGAATTGTCTTGACTAAATGCGGGGTTGTTTACACGAAAAGTGCTCCTGCAGATTGGTTTGTTTTAAAATAAACTAAAATCATGAGTTAATTATTCATCATGTGTAAATGATGTCAGTGCCTAAATGATTTGTTGTTCTTATTGTTGTTGTACAGAGTACCAGCACACTGCACTGGATAAGTTCATCTGGAAACCATTTCTTTCAAGACATTTGTCTTATCATAGTCCTTTCAAGGTAAGCCAATTCCAAATTGGTAAGACACAGTTATTAATCGCTCCATGTGTGTCTGTCACCAGAATGATTGGAAGGAGTGATGCCGATCACAGTTAAGCATCCAAATAATTGCACGGGGTCATTACAATACTGTTGAAATGTCCTTGCGATGCGGTCAGATTCTCTCTGTTCTGTGTAAAGCAGTACATTTATATAGTGCCTTTCACGGCCTAAAGGAATATTTCAAAGGGTTTGGTAAATGTAGTGGAGCACAGCAAGCAAAGATATAAAGAAACAAACATGTTGAGCAATAACATGGTTGAAGAGATATTTTTGCGAGGTTTAGGAATATAAAATTACTGGCTTCTTGGACCCCAGGAAGAATATTTAACAGCATGTAAGATTGATGACCAACGTGTCTATGTCTGCAGTTTTCTTCTGCCTGTGTCATTTCTCAAGCACTCTTACTGTCTGTCCATTCATTCATATTAAGGTGCAGAGTGCACGATTCAGGACTGAAACTTTAGGCTTTAAAGGTTAATCTCCAGTTTAATCGTCTGCACATATGGCATGCTCAATCCCCACCGAGTTGCCAATCCTGCTGCACACATTAATCCTAAAAATAAAAGTTTTCCAATTTTTGGAAAAGGGTCAGGAGGACCGCCTCTGAAAATAAGGTGACCATTTGACCGAGATCCTTACCTCTGGCCCCAACCACTATCAAACAAGCAAAATGTATTGGCCTTAATCCAGGCAATTGTTTCTACAATTTGGCATTTAAATTAAAACAATGGTGTTAAGAATAAAGGTGCCATACAGTCCAGAAGGACACAAGTTCAAATCCCATGTGAGCTGATCTCAGCCAGCGCCAGAATTGCTCTCAGTCCCCACCCCTCAGTTAGGAAAGGGGAAAATCAGCTTGGATTCTCACTCCTGATAACTAATGCACTGACTTTCCTAGGCCACTATTAAACAAGCACTCCAGCCCTCGAGCGCAGAACTTTCAAACATTTGTGGCAGCAAATTCATCTTTTATTACTTTAAGTCCAATTTAGCCTTTTCCCAATATTAGCCAAAGTGAACAGGGCTAACCTTGCTTTTATTAAAGGCTGCGTCACCCACTTCTTCAGCAGTCGTCTTCCGAAGGGACTCCGCGTATGATCAAGGACCCAGAGGAGACTGGCTCTCGTACTACCAGTGGTCTGAGAGAGAGAGAGAGAGAGAGAGAGAGGGGGGGTTAGGAAAGAAATTCTTCAGTTTCATATAGAATTGATTATAGAATTCATATAGAATTGATTTAATTTATGTTTTTGACAGTGGGATTGAAATAGCACTGGGTCAGGTCACCTCAACTGGAGAAAACATCATAGAACGACATCCTGCTATCAAGCTATGTACATGACTGAGTCGTGCCCATTTATGCTGAATTTTCCTGACAATGGCTTTTCCAACCCAACCCCATTAAATTAGTTTTTCTTGTTTTTTTTAAATTAAACAAAATTTTAAAAAGTACCAGAGCCTATAAGGGATAAAATTCCAACAAGATCTAGATTTACTCTAGAAAAAGTTGGCATTTCAGAAGCCAGAATTTAGCAAATACAGCCTTCATTTTGAAGCCCGTCTCCTGTAACTTAAGTTTTTAAGAACTGCACAAAAACAGTTTCAAGGATTGAATTTAACAACTTACCAAATTCTGAACGTTCTGATAAGTTACGATAATAGAGTAAATCTAGAGCCCGGTGGAATTTTACCCCACATTTTCCAGTTACACCAAAAAAGCATCATTCATTATAATTTGTGCTACAGCTTTCTGCTCTTCTTTTTTACCACCATTCCTACAGACCCACTACACAAACAAAACAGAAACACTCACCTATATGAAGACTACAACTGCTTGTAACTAGAGCAGATAGGTCATGGACGCAAAAATGTATTGGCCTTAATCCAGGCAATTGTTTCTACAATTTGGCATTTAAATTAAAACAATGGTTTTAAGAATAAAGGTGCCATACAGTCCAGAAGGACACAAGTTCAAATCCCATGTGAGCTGATCTCAGCCAGCACCAGAATTGCTCTCAGTCCCCACCCCTCAGTTAGGAAAAGGGAAAATCAGCTTGGATTCTCACTCCTGATAACTGATGCACTGACTCTCCTAGAATACGCATGTATATGGATGTTGGTTGAGGACAGGATTGGGCTTTAAAAATGGAGTGTGAATAACATTCTTGATCTCATCCTTTGAAGGGACCCATTAGATTTTAGGCATGTTTCAGGATTTGCTATGATTCAATTCTGAGGTGGCTGGATGTTCAAATATGATTTTCTTCTGCAGACAAGTGCAATATATTGTTGGCCCACCGCCCAAGAACTCCTATTAGCTGCACATTAGTGAAAGCAGCACAAAGACAACACCGACTGTCAAAGCAGAAAAACTTCAGACAAAGTCATTGATATGAATACTTTAATCCAGGTGTGGGGCAGGATGTTGGAAGAAACTATCCTCTCTATTCGAATAATCGCACAGAATCTTTTACGCGCTCCTCAACAGACAGATGAGCCCCCAGTTATTGTTTCCCTCAAAAGACATCACCTCTCACAATGCAATGCTCCCCCATTAGTGGGACCGGAGTGTCAGCCTGGACTGTGAACTCAATCCGTTCATTTGATCGGTAGCAGTGGCTCAGTGTATATTGGCTCCAGCAAAACCAAAGAATTACGAAATGTAGCCGAAACTTCATTTGATTTGACTTTCACTCTGACCTGATTTCGTAAGATTTCCAAGTTCTTCAGGGTTGTTCCATTGATTGACATGCACAAGCTTTTGTCTGAGAACCTGTTTAAGCTACTGAAAGAAAAATAGAACGTTACAATCACCAGGCATCCCCAGTGAAGTCCAGACATTCATCGAGGAATGTAGGAAAACAGCAACATTCAGCCCATTGTCCCTCTTACACCAGTTTATTATATCTTTTAAACCCAATAATTTAACTTTTTGCCATACCCTTAATACCTATACAAACCATACATTTAATATTTTCCCTTTTAAGCATGCCTACTGATTATCCTTCCAGCTTTCTGGGACAGAGTATTCCACAGCTTCACAACTCTCGGTTACCTGGTCAAACATGGACAGGTCGAGGGTCAGCCTGCACCTTTCCTTTGGAAGCTCTTTTATTATATTCTTATCCCCCTCAGAGCTACTTCATCTCAGAGAGACAGAATCTATACGAAGTCTCCTTCTCTATTAAAGCCTTTTCTCCCTCCAGCAGACCCCAAATGTCCAGATCCAAAGTCCCAGGGCGAGAGTGGTAACTGAGCCAAGCTGATATGTAACCCAGTTACATGTCAACTTGGCTGTTCTGAAAAGGCATCTCAGCAAACACATTAACCCACCTTTCTCTCACAGGTTCTGTGCAATTCAATTTTCGTTTCGATAATTATCAAATGTTGTTCCAAGTAACTGTATCTCCCAAAACAGTTTGCCATGAAAGTGACTGCACACAAGCATGCATGGATAAACATATATACATGTAAACACATAGAGCCCCCACCCCTTCCCCAAAATCCCCACTCCTGCTTTCAAACACAAAAATCATATTTCACTGGACTCACCGCTGACTTTGCAGGACTTTCTCCAAATTAAACTCAGACAAATATTTGATGACTGCAGCCAGACAGCAAACAACAGGTTTTTCCAGACTCGGTAATCTAGAAAGTTGCTGTGAACCTACAAAACAAGGAGCAGTGTTTTTCAGTTTAACCACCTGAACAAAACTGAAGCTAACGGTGCCTCCAGTAGGAGGCAGTCTTACACAAGCACAATCTTCAAACACTGCTGACTTGCGAGCTTCAAGAATCAGCAGCGGCTAAAGGAGAGGGCTCTCAACGGCTCTTTCTTCAAAAGCTGACTAGCTTCAATCAGCATTCAGTCTGGTCTGCCCTCACGGAGGAAATTTCACCAGCTTCAACTGTGAAGCCGCCTGAGATTCACTGCCAAGAGAGAGAAACTGGTGACCCAACCAATCACTGGCTAATAGACCGAAAGTCCAGTTGCTCTCCTGGGAAAAGGAGTGAATTAAGAATCACAGAACTTTTACAGTACAGGAGGCCATTCACCCCATTGTGTTTGCGCTAACCCCCCCTCCCCCCACTCTCCCAATATCGTTACCTGCCTTTAACCCTATTTTCCTGCACTTTTAGCAGCAGGTTTTCCTGGAGGAACAAAATAATAAGATAAATAAACCCTGGAATGAGAAGAGGGAATTCTATCCATCAAGCTTGATCCAACCTGAAACTGCACTTAATTCACTCTACCTTTCATAGAATATGCGCAATCCAATCTGCATGTTCTGCCATAATTTATGGTGTTAATCTACAAAACACACAGTCATTACATTACAATATATTCTGAGAAGCCCTTTGAGACAGCTTACTGACGTCAAAGATGCAATGCCAAATCTAAGGAATATTATTCTATCAAAACAGTCAGTATACAACATAATTATTTGGAGCCCTTCTGAAATGTAAATATTTTGACCTGATCCTTATTAAAAGCAAGATTACTATTGAACTCACATCACACAGACAATGAACCAATCTTGTAGTAAATGCTAAAATCAAAGAGTTACTTTGGGGATGCATTGAATAATAATAAAGGTGCTGCAATAATATCTAGCACTTCCTGCCTCTTACCCAATATTTCACAGGGTCCACTTGCATAGAACTCAGAGACTGACTGGAAAGCGTGGCTGAACTCAAAGTGGATGTCGTCCATGCGCTCAACACGAATTCTGTCATCACGTAAACTGCAACAAAAAAGATCAACACCGATTTGTTATTGTTTCTGGAGATCCTACAGCAGTAAACATCTGTGCTGGGGCAGGGACTCCTTTAACATTCAGTTTGAGGCTAAGGTTAGTGCAAATTGGCAGCAATGCTGTGCATCTACAGATCATTCTGTATAGGAGTCTGGACATCAAGGATCAGCAGGTAATTCAACTGTGAGAGGAATCACAGTCAATTCTTCCTTTATACAAAATTCTGTCAAGCTCTTCCAATGGGAGTTGCTGGATAATAATAAATAATAATAATCCTTGCATTTGATATAGCGCTTTTCACGTCGGGAGGACGTCCCAAAGCGCTTCACAGAACACACTGTAAAGTGAATTGAGTGTATATTTTGTGGGCGAACGCGGCAGCCAATTGCGCACAACAATGTCCCACAAACAGTCGTGGATTGAAAATGACCAATTTATTATTGTTTTTTGGTTTTGGAGGGATTATTATTAGGCTCTGTGTGGAGTAAGGAAACTTGTCCAAGGTTTCGCCCTGACCTGCCTGGAATTGAACTCAGGTCTCTCGCTTGCAAAGCGAGTGCTCTAACCACTGAGCCACAGGACTCCGATAGCAATCAATGAAGGAAGACTTGTTCAGGGCTCCTCATTGTAGCACTTCTATGGTTATTCTTGAGCAGCACAGATAGTAATGGCCCCTGCAGCCTACCTGGTCTCTCTAGTGGCTCCGTTTCACACTGCGCTTTGAGTTTACCAACTCAACCATCAGAAAATTGAGAGAGGGGACATCTACAACTGGTATCCAGGAATTGATTACCGGTTGTAGATCAGCAATAACCAATCAGCATAAAAGTCAGGCAGATGTAAGTACTTTCTAAGGAGATAGAATTAAAAAATACAGACCAAGAAATGTTATGCACTCCGATACACTACCCTGTGTGAAGGGCACTATATTATGTATCATACAGTAAACCCTCACCTAAACTGGACTGGAAAATTTCCACAGGCTCCAACCAGCCCAACTCTCCTAGCAGGCGACAACACTGCACTCCCCATGATCCTACAGCTTATGCCACCAAGTTGCAGCAAATAAACATCTTCAAACTTTTATCACCACCTTTTAAAGGCTGAAGAAAGGCCACAGTCACATTAGTGTTGTGTGAAAGTTTTGAACATCTTCAGGTTTTATACTGTATAAAAACATATTACCACAATTTAAATTGGGGAAAAAAGCCAACTTTGTTTTTAAATGTTCATTACTGTCACATAAAATCTATTAAATTTATAGGCGGGTGTATTTAGGATTTTAGCAAGGGATATAATAGAATTAAATTGTTTCCCTCTCAGAAGTCTGAAACATGGAGAAGCCCAGAAACACGCAGAAGCTGCTGGGAATGCATGCTACTCCTGTTTTCACCCAACACACACACACACCCCCAACGACACACACACCCCCAACGACACACACACCCCAACGACACACACACCCCCAACGACACACACACCCCAACGACACACACACCCCCAACGACACACACCCCCCCAACGACACACACACAAAAACGTTCAAAAGTGATCATGGGTCCCCGACTGAAATCAGCTAATTACACAGAGACTGGAGATGGAACCAGGGGATCTTTCTGGTCTGTATGGCTCAGTTTCAGTCTTTATAAACTATTCAAACTATTCTATTGGGGATGTTTTCTCATAGCATTCTCAACAAATTATGGATAAGTGCTTAAAAGTACTATCCCTCACCAATCCAAAAGTAAAGTTTCAAAAGAAATGTAAAATTTTACATAACTCCCGCTCACAACTCACATAATTTTTTCACCAACTATCAATTTCCCTTTTGAATTTGCTAACAATAATTATAATTATTGCATTTGATTATAGCCCCTTTCACATCAAGAGGATGCCTCAAAACACTTCAGAGGATTTACTGGAAAGTTTATTTTTGAAGGCAAATGTAGCAGCCAATTTGTGCATAGCCATGTCCCCCAGACAGCCATGATGAATGATCACGATGTTGGCCAGGACACCGGGAGAAACTACCATCTCTTTTCAAATTGAAACAATGTCTATTCCACATATATTCATCACCCTTGGTATAAAGTAATTAAATCTGTACTTTCTCTGTGTAGTCTACCTGATCTGCCCCTCTTCTGAAGCCATGTCCATGCCCCATGACTATGTTAATAATAATCCTTGCATTTGGTATAGCTCCATTATCACATCTCATGGCACTTCTTTGTTGAATTTAGTCACAGCCTCTCCAAAACCCAACTGGCATCACAACCACTAAACTTAAAAAAAAAATCAATTTCCTTGTCAAAAAGTCTGTTCACAACAATCTTGCAACCAAGTTTCACAAGTAAAACAAGGCATCATTCCTGCACAGGAAAAACTGTCAGATACAATCCCCTTATATGCTGGTTATTTAACACCCATTCAGAGAACATTATTTTTCATTATTCTCTACGGAGACTTTTGGTGGTCATGGAAACAGAACAACAGCATAACATTTCCAAGGTAAAGAGCAGTTTCCTACAAATACATAGAGACACCAAAAATGCTAACTTGTGGTGTAGAAAGTATTTCTACGCATGTAGATCAAGTTCATGTTCAAGATGTTCTAAAGTGCTTCACATGAGTTGCTGTAAAGTGTAATGACTATGTATTTGTAAACAAGCTCAGCAGCTATCCACAAACAATTTACACATAGCAATGTCCCACAAAGAGCCATCAAATGGATGACCAATTTTCTCTGTCGGCCAGGAAACTCGGTAGGGGAGGGAAACAATTATGTATTCTTAGCATCAGCTGCCCTTTGTTTTTTGATTCATTTCCAACACTGAATGTTTTTTAGTTTTGCTCAGAGCCAAAATTTGGAGTTCTGTAGCTTAGTGGTTAAAGCACTAGTCTCACAAGTGAGAGGGCCTGTGTACGATTCCCGGGAAGCACAAAACTTTAGGTACGTTTCCTTACTCCACATGCCTAGCAGTAAGTAGGAACCCAGTTCGTAGTCCATTGGTGGATCTCTTTTCGGGAGTAATAATCCTTTTTTAAAAACATTTGGTCACTCAATCTACGACTGTTTGTGGGACACTGCGGTGCGCAATTGGCTGCCGTGTTCAGCCCATACAATACAGTCAATTCACTGTGAAGTGTTTGCGATGCCTCAACAACATGATAAGGTGCTATATCAAATGCAAGGATTATTATTATCATAAAGAATGTCTGTACTGTTATCGGATATGCAAAATAATTATAATTCTGGAAGAATCTAATATACAAGTCTGATGAAAAAGGAGTGGGCTAAATGAGGAATTCAGTTGTAATCCACATCAATATCAGTCCCCCAAAATAAAAGCTTAAAAAGGAAAACAAAAGAAATATCAATCATACAAATTATATTCCTTTCTCGTGCAATCCACAAAGCTCTCAAAACCTTTTGCTATCGTGCAAAGCATGGGATTTAGCTGCAGGCAGAACTGGCATCAATCGCCATGTGCACTGATCCTTCAGATGATTAGAACTCAAAATACATCCAGAGCCTAACATTTGCATTTCAGAATCATCGAGCACCTTGATTAAATATTTCCCTGCTTGACAACAGCAGTTTTGGTCATCGGTGAGCCAAAGGTGCTCTTGTTAAGGATTGCAAGGAAAGAGTTAAAATTCTAGTAATCACTCTACCTGCTGCCAGGAGACTCAGCACCCAAGGCCCAAATTCCACACACTCTTAGCCTTGATGTCGTTATCTTAAAACTGAAGATCGTGCAAAATATTGGAAAATGCTTCAATACTGACGTAATTTCCTAAAACACAGACAGCTTTGGAATGAAGTTCGAATTTAAGAATTTTCCAAAATTCTGCATTATGTTAAATTTGAAGGCGATAATCAATAAATATAAAAAATAATCCTCACATTTGATACAACATCTTCCTCGTCGGTAGGACATCCCAAAGTGCTTCACACAAGTTACTGTAAAGTATAGTGACTGTGTATTCATAGGCGAACGTAGCAGCCAATCTTTGCAAAGCAATGTCCCACAACCAACCATGAAGTGAATGATCGATTTTATCTCGGCGATTATTGGCCAGGACACTGGGGGAAACTCCGTTCTCTTTTCTAAGAGTGTCACATGATCCTGAAAATTCACCTGAACAACCTCAGTCTAATGTCTCATCTAGAAGACAGCATCTCCAACAATGCAGCACTCCCCCAGCACCACACTAGTTTCAGCCTGAACGGAGTAAAGAGGAGTGACTTGGAGGAGTCCCTCCATCCCAGCACAAATTATGGGACAACATTCTGAGCTGTTTCTGGTGAGACAAGACCGCACAGATCTGTAATACAGTGATGTTAGGGTTAGATATCATTGATCTGGTCTGACTACAGAACAAGGATGACTGCGTTACAGAGGTTATTAATCTGGTTGGATTGTACACAAACATGTATACAGTCATTCTTGGAATCAGACTTTCAAAGGCAAGGCTTTTTCATTTTCATTAATACCATTCTCATAAACATAGGACCAATGGAAGGAGATCAGGAGGGAGAGAAAGCAGGAAGAACTGAGTAGAGGGTGTTTGGTGTGACTGTTGGATTTTTGTAACTGGAGAGCTGAAATAAAAGTGTGTTCTACACCTTGTTTGTTGAGAACATAGCAAAGTCCATTTGTAGGAGTTTTGCAGACTTCTCTGAACACTACAAGTGTTAACACATCTTGCATTATGCGGCAAACTGGGGCAAAATGCCACATACCAGTGGTTCCTTAATCTTGTAAAGAAATGTTAGGGGTAAATGGGAATGAAAGTTCCTTTAAAAATAACTATGGTGATGACTACGAAGCTGTTATTCGCTTAGTTGATGAATATTTATATCAGTTTTTTTTTAAAGGTTCACTCCACCCAACTCTGGAACACTCTCCCTCAATCCCTCCGCCTTGCCCCTTCCTTCCTCTTCTTCACCTGAAGACCTTCTTCACCTGAAGACCTTCTTCACC